TGACCCTTTAGGTGTGGGGGCTGTCCAGAGAAGCAACAAAGCTCCAGATATAAGAAATTTTGCACGTTCGTCTTTTAAGACAGACAAGGATGAATTGTTCCTTTCTCACTAGTTTTTGAGAAAGCACGAAGAGTTCCCAACACACCAAAGCCGTGCTTCCAGTTCCTTCTGCTTTCCCTCTGCTCCAAATGATGTTGCAAGTGAAATTCCACATCTGGGTCCTGCAAACCTTCGTCCGCCCCGCTCTGTCGTGGGCCGCCGTAAATCAGGGCCCTGGTGTTATTTCTTTTGATTAAATTCCCTCCTGATATTTGCCAGATTATTGGCACTAATGTAATTCTATTGGAGCAGAGAGTCTGCAGGATTTTATAGCCCGGCTGTAAAACAGCTCTGCACTTGAGGGAGAGGCTTTACACACTTTTTGATGAAAAGATGACAAATGATACACGTTATGAATGCACTTGTGCTGAGGCTGCCAGTGTAAACCCCTTGTGGAGGGGCAGGATTTGGCACCTGGAGAGGTCACATTCATTAGGACTCCATGTTTTGGTAAAAAATGGGATTGTCTGATTCCCTGGTGCTGCCACAGCTCCATGCCTGTGCAGAGCCTGGCAGGTTTTCCATCTGCACTGAAGTACTTAATGGGTTGTTCAAAACCCAAAAGGCACTCCCAGCCTACCTGCCCATCCTGCCTTGTAACCACAAAGGGTCAAGCCTTGACATTTTCATTTTGGAGGCAGTTTGGGTCAAAGCAGAGGGAAGGTGAGTGCCATCCCCATGGGCTCAGCCTCTGATCCTTGATTTCATGGGTGCAGATACAGGTTTTCTTCCCACCCAGCTGCAGGCCCTGAGTGGGGGGGACTAACACAGTGGAAGCCCTTTGGCTCCCGGTGCTGCCTGGCGAGGGGAGCAGAGCCTCTGGTGACAGGGACAGTGGGACGAGTCCCCGCCTCTCTCCACTGACTATAGAGGGAGCTGCGTGACCAGCTTAGAGCTGAGAGCTCATTCCCACGAGGCTGAAGCCAGGGGAGATGGAACCTCTCCTTGCTGCCCAGAGCCCCGCTGGGAATT